GCGTATCAGTAACCATCTGTTTCTTAGGAAACCAAGGCCACAGAAAAAGATTAAAGCAATGAAGGAAGAGGCAGAGAATTCACCTCATCACCAGTTCAGCCAAATGGTAGAGAAGGTAATGTGTTTTCGGATTTATCGACTATGTTCTCGGGTCAGATTGAGAGATAAATGACAATTCCTTAAGCACTGATCATAAAGGAGAAAGGTTCTGTTAGTTGGGATTATAATCTTGTTTCTAATATCAATTTCATAATACATTGGTCAGGTGGAGACTGCTGACAGAAACAGCTAGTTGGCTTGAGCATAAACTGACCGAGAAGCAAACCGCAAGACTTGAAACCGAAAAAAGGACCAAAGAATTCCACCAAGAATCCAGCAATGAGATTAAGAGGTTGAGAGAGAAACTCGAGAGGGCGGAGAAGGAAACTCGAGAAAAAGGGAGGAAATTGCATCATTCTCTAATGAATCTTTCGTACTTTTTCCAACTGAGAGATCTCAACGCTCGTTTGAGTTTCATTGTACATTTTTTTTCTTTCATTTGAGTTTATGATCAAAAGAATTACTTTTGAGGCTTTGGCTTCAGGGGCCTTGACTTTGACTTTTGAGGCCTTGGCTTCACGTTATGGAAACTTTTCTTTCATTGGCATATTTCAATGCCTCCAAGTTCAAAGATTTCTACTAGCTTTGTTGGATCACTGCAATGGTTAGATTCATATTCGTTAATCACAGTGGCAGCTTCAATGTTCTTTCTTCAGGCAAGGTGAAAAGGATAAAGAGAAGATTGGTAAAGATTGTTATCTTTCTCTTAGATTCCTTGCTTGTTGACTCCATTTGGTTTATATTCTTAGTTTTTTTTTTTTTTTGAAAAAAGTTTTTCTATTGAAATGCATAATGAAAATTACAGGGATATGACATAAGATCATATAGTTTGAGAAGTAGCTAGAGATAGTTAAGATTAAGCATACACTTAACCTAGTAAAATAGATTTTGAGAACAAGAGAAGCTCATAATAGTATCGAAGGAGCTAAAGATGAACTCACTAAAGTTGCTCAGTTTAGAGGTCCATGGCCGCCACGATCTCCACGACTACGTTTACCGCGACCACTAACCAATGTCCATTGATTTTCTTGGATCTTTTGAGTAGGTTTTATTGGTCTTCCTCCTCGGGTCCTCTGAGATGATTCATCGAAGGACTCATATCCGATAAAAACTCCATTTCCATCGCAAGGACTTCTCCAGGGTTCCATCACACCATTCTCAATAACCAAAGGTGAGATTGATTTAGGAGGAGGTGTTTCCCAAACTGGGACAACCTCAATGGTTGTAACTGATGGCATAGTTGGTTGCTCAAATTCTTGAGATGGGGTGGATTTAGTAGCAGAAGATAAGGTAGTGGTTGTGACAAAAGCTTTAGCAGTAGCTGTAACAGATTATGTAGTAGCTGTAGTTGATTTTGAAGTTATTGGAATCTCCCCTGTTGTTGACAAGTTAGTAGCTGAATGTTGGCCTGAGATTTTTGAGTCTTGAGCAGTGTGAGTTTCCCCAATTGTTGAGTCTATAAAAGCTATTACAAGTTTTGAAATAGCTTCCACATTTGTGATTGGGACCAAAACTGGAGGTTGAACACGGAGGACTGCATCGATAAGGGTATTAGGGCATCTCTAACCCACCTCTATTTTTTTCCTAAACTCTATTTTACAGTAAAATTTACTCCAACTCATCTCTATTTATACCTCTAAAATAGAGAAAATTGTAGTATTCCTCTATTTATAGAGGCAAAAGTGGAGAATTGCTATTTTTTCCTCTATATTATAGCAATTCCTCTAAAATAGAGGCACATCGGAGAAGAAATAGAGCAATGCTATAATTTTCTCTATTTTAGAAACTAGGCAAGACCCGCGCCCTGCGCGGGAGTGAACTTCTCGAGAAAGTATATTG